TCTGTGGAGAGAAAGCAGAGGTCATATTTCAGGTCCATTGATCCTTCTTCACTGATTTTAGCTAGGAAAATGTTGGTATATATGCTGAAAAGTGAGTTGGGGGTGGGGGAGGAGGAGTGAATGATAGGTAGCGATGGGGCCCAGCGAGACCGAACAACAGTTGGGTAGACAAGTGAATGGGTAAAGGTCAGACTGGGAGAATCAATAACTGCTGATAGGGATTGACAATGGGTTGTTTGTGGTAGCAGCCTATGTGATGACAAGGTCTTCTGTGTGGGGGGGTGAGGGTAAGGACATGGGAGAAGGTACTCGGGCCCTAAAATTTATTGAACCAGATATTGAGTCCTGAAGGCTGCAGAGTTCCTATGCTGAAAATGAGATGTCGTTCTTCCAAATTGTGCTGAGCTTCACTGGAGCACTCCAGCAAGCCTGAGACCGAGATGTTGACCAGGTAACACGGAGTGTTGAAGTGATAGGCAGCAGGAAGCTCAGGGTCACGTTTTTATAGGCAGAATGTAAGTGTTCCGCAAAGCAGTCGCCCAGTCTGTGTTTCATTTCTCCAGAGTAGTGTAGACCATACTGTGAGCAGCGAATGCAGTAGATTAGATTGAATGAAGTGCAAGTAAATTGCTGCTTCACCTGGAAGGTACATCTGGGTCCTTGGGTAGCGAAGAGGGAGCAAGTAAACGGCAGTTGTTGCACCTTCTGCAATTTGTGTGGGAAGGTGCTGTAGGGTGTGAGGAGGTGTTCGGAGTGGAGTGGACCACGATGTTCGATAGGAACTGTCCTTGCAGAAGGCTGATGAAGAAAGGGAGGGCAATGTGTGTTTGGCTGTGACCTCCTTGAGCTGGTAGAAATGGCAGCTACTCATCCTTTGGATGAGTGTGTTGATCGGATATTAAATGAGGACTTGGAGATCCAATTGTTGTTGTGGGAAGGAAGAGGTGGGGTGACAGCCAAAGTGTGGGAGAAGGGTTGGACATGATTGTCAACTATGGTGGTGGGGAATCCTTGGTTGAGGAAGAAGGTGGATGTTTCAGAGGCTCCCTTGTAGAATCTGGCACCATCAGAACAAATGCAAAGGAGACGGAGAAACTGGGAAAATGGAATGGAGTCTTTACAGGAAGCAGGTGTGAACATGTATAGTCAGGGTAACTGTGGGAGTCCATGGGTTTGAAGTGGATGTTGGTGGCCAGACTGTTCAGAGATGGACCTACTGAAGGTGAGAGCAGGGTGGAAATTCAAAGTGAAATTAATAAAAATTTTCCAGTTTTGGACGAGAGAGGGAAGCAGCACTGATGACATCATCAGTGTACTGGACAAAGAGTTCTGGGTGAAGGCCTGAGTAGGACTTGAATAAGTAATATTTCACATTCCCCGTAAAGAAACAGGCTTAACTGGGGCCTGTGCTGGTACTCAAGGCCACACATTTTGACCTGAATAAAGTGGGAGAAGAAACGACAGGTTGTTCAAAGTGAGGATGAGTGTGGCCAGGTGTCTTTTCCTATGTCTTTAGCCCAATCCCCCACACACCTGACCTTATCATCACATGGGGTGCTACCACAAACAATCCATTACAGCACTAATTACCTTTTACTTTTTTTTTGGTTTTTGTCTGCCCAACCCTTTTTCTCCCTTAGCTCCATCTCCACCTCACATTTACTCTCTTTCCCCCATCCCATCTTTAGCATATATACTTTATCCAAGCTAAAACTGGTTCTGAAGAGGAGTCACTGGACCTGTCATGTTAACTCTGCTTTCTTTCCACAGATGTTGCCAGACCTGAGTTTTTCCAGAAATTTTTTGTTTCTGATTTCCAGCATCTGCATTTCCTTGGTTCTTTTTCCCCACGTAGTGTTGATGCTTGTTTAAAATGAATACTTGCTGTATCGTTTCTACAAACGTGGCTATGATTCCATTATTTTGACTTGAATTGGTTCTACTGCCTTCGTTTCACCGACTTGATTAATATGCATGTTGGTCCAGATATTTTGTGTGGGGTGATGTGACGTGATGCATTGTATCCTCTGATTTACAAAGCAGCAACACAGGATAGACGTGTGTCATGTGCACTTCCTGTACTTAGCAGAAAACAACAACTTGCATCTTCCTGTCATCTTTTTTGTTGCAAACTTAACTCTTGAACATGGCCCTAGTTGCTTGTTCATGAGAGACCCACTACCAACTTAAAGCTAATGCTCTAGGTTTCCCTTCACAGCAAAGGTTGCAGTGGTTCAAGAAGGCAGAGGGATGGGTAATAAGTACCAGCCTAGGCAATGACTTCAATATCCCATGAATGAATAAGAAAAACAAAACTTGGTTCTCCTGTGTCTTCAATCCTAATCCATTTACCAGAAGTGTTGTTAAGTAACTTAAGAATTTCAAGTGTCTTCACTATTTCTAAGTGTTTTTCTTAGTCCTGTCTCGCTGCTTGATAATGCTACAATAACATTTTTTTATGAAATGCAAGAGTAACTACATGTATTACAACTCCCTGTTGGTGTTGTAATGCTGGTGGGAAGTCAGTCCTTCGACTGAATTTATCTAATTCTGATCTTTTCAAAGTAATTGTGTATTTGACATTCGTACTAAATGATGTGGTGCACACTGCTGTAAAGACACATTTCATTGCAGTTTGACTATCTTCAATGATAGTACTCATTTATATACTGTTTTACTGAAATGCTACCATTGTTTAGCTGGCTTAAAGCTGGTTTATGGTTCTGGAATCTGCTGTGTTTTTTTTTAAATGTTGGGTTGCCTGCCTTCCAGGTCAAGTTCACTGCCTTAATCCTTCTTTACCTCTAGAACTGGGTCCCAGCAGTTGACATGGCTGGTTTGACAGACTGTGCTGGAGACTGATTTCATGACTAGTTTCATTAAAAACTGACGTGTGTAGCTTTTGTTCATATGGCAATTTTGGCTAATAAAATTTTGAGTTGGTAAATTAAGTTTTAGCAGAATTTAGAATGTTTGCATTTGTTTCTGATCTAATGAGATTTTCTTTGGTGCTTGAATTTTTTTTAAAATTCCAACAATGAAATCAATTTTAGCCATCTGCCTCCCTAGCGAATGCTCCACGAGTCTGTTGATATTGAATAAATTTCTGTAGGAGGTAAAACAACTCGATTGTTGTGGAACAGGATCAGAGAGTAATTAATTCTATCTTTCTGTTTTTTTAATACATATGGTGGAAAAATTGTCAAGCTTCATAATAGTTGAAAGGTTTGGAATTTGAAGTGTCATTCAAAAGACCATTTTAATAGTGTCCTGATGGAAAATTAGCATAAAGCTAAAATAACCTATGCAACTGCACAGGATATAATGTATTCCTGATGCTATCAAATTTTTATGTTAAAATTTTAAAGAAATTCTTCAAGAATGTTTTTATACTCTGTTTTGAACTTGGGTTTAGTTGCATGTTTGCTGCAATGTCACTGAACCTTTTAATCTTTTGGTTTGTGGCTGAAGTAAGTGTGTTCCCCGGTACTAAGATTATATTCCTTCGACGTATGAGGAGCATGCCTTTTGTGGGCATGAAGATTTAAGTTCAACAAGATAGACTGAACTGCCTAATATTGAAAAGCAAGCAAGTTATTGATCAGAATTCTACAGTACTGTCTCTATAGGGGTGTCAGCTGCTCCACTGAAATAATTTGATTTATTTTTTAATGTCTTAGTTATTGATCATGTCTATCTGTTCTATTGACCAGTTGGGAATAGTCTTAATGGATCCAAAGCTGAGCGGCTATTAAAGCCAATATGGTTTCTGTGTAGTCAGTGACTTCTGAATTTTAAGGAGCAGGGACTATGCGAATACTGATGGCTAAAATGAGGAACCTAGAGGTATAATGTTGTATAAACTAACAGGAGAAAAGGCTATATTTACGTGGATCTATTGCAACAGAAAGTGGCCTGGATATTGTGGATGAAAATAAATTGGAATCAATAATCCTGTTATTTTCAATGTATTTTCCTCATTCTCGAATGGTTTTTTTCTTGTTTTGCTTGAGCCCGTGTATACAAAATCCCCTCTCCACCTGCCGCCTGCCTACCCCACCTCAATAATAATTGATTCTGATGTGAATACATTTTAACATATTGCAAAGTTCATATTCTGATGACATGAGTCAGTCAGTGGATCTGATATTGTAGTAGTGGTAAAAATAATGTCATATGGATATTAGAGATCAGAAATAAAGTGTGCTGGAGAAACTAGCAGGTCTGGCAAGGTCTCTATTTCTCTCCCCAGAGTTAGTGTTTTGTATCAAATGAGGTCCTGAAGAAGAGTTCTGTCTCATTTAAAACATAAGTGTCTTTTTCTCTAGAGGTACTGCCAGATTTATGGTTTCTCTACACATTAGTAAAAACAAAATGGTGGTGATGTTGGTACAGCAATTGCTTGCATACTGTCAATTGTAGGGTTTCCATTGTGTTCAGCGTTTTAACAAGCAAATGTCGGGTAGTTGGGTCTTGGGATAGATAAAAATCTATCAAATCTAATTTCCATTTTACACTTTTTGGCCTACCTGGAGAGAATTGCACAACTTGTTTTTTTTTGACAGTGCAGTTAAGATATCAGTTTTGAATTTTTTTGTGCAACCAGTAATGACCTGGATGCTTATAAAGGAAGAGGTGCAGTGTTCATTATCTGATAGGCTTGCAAAGCTATTGATATGAAGTAGAAATTGTCTTTGTCTTTTTTTTGAGTTTGGAGCACATTTTAAGTGTGCTGCAAATAATCGAAAAAACACTAGAAAAGCTGTAATTTCTTGTATATCAGATTTGTAGCTGCAACTTGAAAGGAATGGTTCACGAGACAATTATAACAGATCTTTGCTTAGTTCATTGATTTTAATTGATTTTGGTTTGTTGAATTGCATAATCTATACACTAATGTACTACTGGGCTTTAAGTTATGTGGAACCTCTTAAGATGTACACTGGTTATTTTACCTCAGTAGTAGTACGCAACTGCATTTAATTCTATTTGTTTGATCTGCAGGGCAGTTGGGAAATCCCTTAAATAAATACATTAGACATTATGAAGGTCTGTCGTATGATACAGATGTATTGCATCAGAAACATCAACGTGCCAAGAGGTCGATATTGCATGATGACCAATTTGTCCATCTGGACTTCCATGCACATGGAAGGTATGTACTATGTATGTAGAAGTTAAAATCCTTCCTTCATTAACATTAACCTCATGATTTCAGTAAGACATTGTTACAGGAGGCTGTTGAACACACTTCAAAAGCAGTTCACTTAGATATTCTCCTTGTTAAAATTCTAGTGTCTGGCAGCTCTATTTAGGTAATGCAATTGAGTGTTGAGTTTAAGTGTTTCACACATTCTTGAAAAAGGCAATTTTGAGCTCATTTATCGAGAAGAGAAAACTGTTAGAACTCTTTTCTGATGTACCTTCTGTGATTTGTCTTCTCTGGCTATATAGAAAATGAGTGAAACCAATCACAAGGATGAGTCGAAACACTAACTGCAGCAAAATCCCTTTGCAGCATCCATTGTTGGAGACTGACACTGTCTAGGATCAAACTAATCTTTACATTTGATAAACAACAAAGAAAAATGTTTTTTTTTTAAAAAAAAAGTTTGTTTCTTAATATTAGCTTTGCCAATCTGAGAGTTTTTTAAATTTGAGCTTGTCATTACATTTATATGAGTGAGGTTTTGGTTCAAATTGGGCATGACCATGGTTAAACTTTTAGCTCTTGCCTCAGAGTTTGATACAACGAAGAAGACTGTGAAAAGTATATTAAATAATGCAACAAATAGTGTTGGTATCTGTTTCTACTGCGAATACTTAAGTGGTTTTTGAAATGTGTTCAACAACCTCCTGTAATGGTTTGTTACTGAGATCACCTGCCTTTTGAAAGGGTCTATCTAAAAATCTTGAAGTCCTGAATGCAAAAATTGTTTCATTGTAAAATGTATAGTATCATTTCAAGCAACCCACAGTCCACATGAAAATAAATCTTGTGACATGCTGGTTCTTCTAGTAAATTTCCAGTTCTATTTAACCTCGAGGAATTTAATAACATTAATCAAACACTGATTAGTCCTA